TCAAAATCACAAATCTAATTATTTAACAATTACATAAACATTACATCATTAATTATTTAATTAACCAAAAAAATTACATCTTTATTAATAACAAATTAATTATTAAACAAAACAATTAAATATAAACTAGGCAAACGTACATTGCACATTGCTTGCACCTAATATTTTGAAATAGTTGGAACCTCCAATGCAATATTTCTTGTTTTAATTAATTAAATGTTAAAATACAATTTTGCTCTTTTAAATTTAGTTAAATTATGGTTAAATGCTAATTTTGATCCATTAACGAATCTTTGGATGAATTTCTTATTATAATTAATTAAATGCTACAATATAATTTTGCTCTTTTAAATTTAGTTAAACGCTAATTTTTTTATCAATTAACAAATTTTTGGATGAAAATTGTCAGAAGCCATTGTGGATAATCGTCAAATTATAGTATAATCTGACTTTTAGCTCAAAATTTCCCAATTTCATTTGGAGAGAGAAATGGTAGGTCAGAAGGAATAAATCGAACACTATCTATTTTCTATTATTATAAAATTATTCCACCACGTTAAAATCCTTGAGAAAACTTGTTTCCGAGATCAGTTATTCAACCAAACGAACACCAATCGAGCATAACTTGACCCACAACTTCAATGCACTTGGTTGCAATAAATCTTGCACGGTTGCACCTGCAAAGGATACACTTATTGGTGGTGATTGCATCCACTAAGGAATGAGAAAAATAGAAAAGGAACTATGATAATCACTCAACCAAGAAAGCCTGCTTCACACATTTGTTTCCCTTTGCAAAGGGCGCGCACACAGTGAAAAACGGCGGGAGGGTGAAACATATATCAAGCCAATTAGGTCACTTCCAATTGGGCTAAAGGTAAGTAATTGGGCCAAGTCCGTTAAATGGGACAAAGACAACCAAGATAAAGGGCAAACGTATCACCACCAATCCAAAACCAACCATAACATGAGTGATCCTAAATTTATTTCTAAAATGAGTTAATTTCACAAACGGTCACTGAAATTACGTCAAAATCACAAAACGGTCACTGAAATTTAAAACTTGCACTAACGGTCACTGAAGTATCATTTGGTTTCAGTAATGATCACCGAATGACCTTTTTCATTTTAATTGGAACTTAATGGATCAAAATAGTTGAATCTTGAACCTTGAGGACCTAAATCGACATTAAAACCCCCCAAAACCATTTCTTTTTGTGAAATTAACCTATATAAGGTGGATTATTTATTTATTTATTTATTATTATTATTTTGTAAAACGAGAGAGGGACAGAGAGAAAGAGAAAATAATAACATAAAAAAACCAATAATATTATATATGAATTCTTGAAAATATATTAACAAAATAGTATAAAACTATAACTTCAACTTAAAATAAATAATAAATT